GTGGGTGGGTGAGTAGGTGCCTGAATGACTAAATCTACCTGGTTAATCAGACCCTGGTTGGTTTTAGGACTCTAGTAATAGCAGTAGTAGCAGAAGAAAACCTTGTAAACAACTATAGGGAAAAAAACCCCAGCTGTTGTACACATAGGGACCATAAAGCATGTCATTTGCATGTCAAATTTATAATGACTAGTAGTGGGGAAAGAAATATACGACCAGATTTTAAAATTCTAATGTGATCTCTGATTGATATAGTGAATCATCTAAAGTCTCTTCTGTAACTACCACATTTATTTACTGTGACATCATGTAATTTCAACATACAACTCTGATATTAAAATAACTCTTCTCTTAAACTTAATTTCTCTATCAATACCTATCACCCGAGGAGTATATTTCACTAACTGTATCAAGAATCCCCTTGATCTCTTATGATCTACTTGATTTTAGCCATTTCTTGGGTAAATAATGGAAGCGCAGAAAACATCAAATAGCTTGAAACTAAGCCTATGACTTGATTCTGAAATTTGAATACTGTCCACAATCCCCTGGCCAGATTCTTTTCAGCTTATGGGCCAAATCCAGCCCAGGTTTGTTTATGCACAGGCTGAATGTTATAAAAAAATGTTTTTAAGGGGCATTAAAAGGATATGCAAAAGAAGCTGTATGAGGCCTGCAAAGCCTAAAACATTTACTATCTGGTCCTTTATAAAAAAAGTTTGCCAACCTCTGTTTTAGGGGAATCCCTCGGAGAAACTGCCATATTCTGCAAAGCTGCCACTGCCCTGCCTGTTTCTGCCTCTTCTAATGACCTAGAAAATTAGCTGTAATCTTTATTTGAGAAAAGAAAACACATATAAGCAGTATCTAACTTTGTGGAAACTATGTCACTGATTTTCATCTTGAATCACTTATACTCACTGACAAAAAGTAGGCCATTTTTACTGAATAGGTAATAGTTTTACAAGTCTATTAAAAATTCACAAAGGTATCACTGGTAGATTGATAAGGAGTCTTAAGACAAAATGAAAGCATCATATAGCTTGTATTCTCTGCAAAGAAAACTGTCTAATTTAAAACCAACTGCTTTTTAGAGTTAATGTAGTCCCCAGAACAGATGGTGGAAAAAAAGAGAGGCTATCATATATCCACATGCATGCCTTTCCTGGCTTCAAATCTTTAACAAAAGTAGTGAGCAATAACAATGCTTTAAATGACAGTATGTATCTGAAAATTACCTGCTCTCCGTCAACTCCGGGGATTCCTGGAGATCCTGGCTCTCCCTGTTAAGATAAAAACTGATGGCTTCCTTCCATTTATCACTGGTAGCATACTAAACTATATAAAATTGATGCTAGTTGGTAACAGTACAATTTGACTTTCAGCAAATGTATCATAACCTAAGAATACTCCATTACATCATAGCACATCTCTAAAGAAAGTGAAATAGCATTTTCTTGAATACTATGTACAACAATACTTATGTATAGCTAAGACCCAGTGTTTTTATTTTTCCCTCATGTGAGATGCAGGCTAAAAAACAAACAAACTGGTGAAAGGAAACTGATAAAATCATTTGATGGCTTACCCTTTTCTATAGCAACAATTTACATGCCTCAGTTAATTTTTTCTCCTAAAAAATCTGTATGATTTCTCTTATTTTCCAATTTGAGAAAAAAGCAAAAACATGACAGTTATCTTAAGAAAGAATAAAACATGAAGCCCCATAAGTTCACAATATTTTAACAGGCGCTGCTTGAACCATAGACAAAAATTCATAATGATTGTGGATGTGCTACTTCCAGATAAGCCTTGCTGAAGGATATAATAAATCAGATAATATCTTAATCCACATTAAATTACTTTTGGATCAATTCAATTTCCTATACTATGCAAGGAATGCACTAAATTTACTATTTTTATTATGATTTATTAGAACTCTTGACAAACCCAAAATATATAGGTTTATTTTTTCTTAACTAAAGATGTTCCATTAAAAACAAATTTAAACAATGTGCTAGAGATTTATTCAAACAACAAATGTCCAATCACCTTTCAGTTGGAAAGGTACTGAAAAAATTCTTTGAAAGGCAAGATATTATTTTATATCAATGAATCATGTATTTGGATCCCATTATAAATATCCCTTGTTTCCACATTGTGGAAACTTCATAAAACCAGCTCTTTTGAGAGTTGAATGGCCTGCCTCTCAGACAGAATTCCAAGGGAGCTGACTTGAGACTGTATTTTTCTAGAAAGGCTTGTTTGGTGATGTTTTAAACCACAATATTGAAATGGCTAGAGCTCTTTTCCCCGGTAAAAAACTTTAATGGCTATTGGCCATAACATGAAATCTGAGCTTTCCAATGTTTTAGAAAGCATGACAAACAAATGAAAGGCAGAAAAAGAAAAAGAAAAGAAAGGGCTTTTCTTTTCCAGATTTCCTGCTCTTTGTGGTAGCAGCAAAGTTTATTTTGCCACAAACAAGCCTGCTGAGGTTGGATGCAACTGGCTAAGCCCTAGTTTCATTCAGTCTGAAAACTTGTCAGCGCTCTGGGTCCAATAACAATTGCTTTGCTAAACTTTTACCTTCAAAATGTGACCCAGGAGTGTTTAAAAGAAGAACATAATTCATGAGTTACTCAATTATCCTTCACCCATCAAAAGCGGTTTGTAAAGGGTTATGTGATGTGTAAGAAGTCAAACGATCCTCGTTTGATAAAGGAAGGAGCAATGCTAATTGAAAAAGTTCTCATTCAGTCTGAGGCTGTGAGTCCTGAGTGAGAATGGGGTTTATATTTGACTCAAGGCTGCATTTGCTGAGTCTTGGTCATAGGCACATCTCACCCCAATTATCCCAACCTTCTCAAGGAGAGATCATGAGACATATAAAGAACTATATCAACTAACCCAAGATCTCAATGACAAGATCCTTGTGAGGGGTGGGGCAGAGTGACAGCACAGTGGCAAGGATGGCAGGGTAAGAGGTAGGAGAGTATGACCGTCTCCTCCCACCCCATTTGTCTAGATATTCATTTGGCCGATTTCCCTTTCAGTTTCAGCTCCAAGTCATCCTTGACTCCCAAGGCTGAGACAGGCTTCTTAATTCCCATCTTGATCAAAGCAGTTACTTTTATTTATAAATAATTGTACCTTCACCTGCCTATTGCCCTCCCCAGGCTGTAATCCCCTGGTTGAAACCCCTTACTGTACCTTAGTATTCTCACTAGACATTAGTACTGATCACAGAGTAGAGGCTCAAGAATTACTTACTGAATAATTGAGTTAATAAATGAATAGCAATTGGTTTATAAAACAAAGGGATGTAGGTTTTAATGACATAGCCTTCTTGGCTAGGTGGTCCTTGTTGCCCCTGTGGGTCAAGGGATGGGGACCCTTTGGGCTTCTGCAGGTGTCCGGGCTGTAAGGAAGAGTTAAGTCCTAGAAGCTGAGGGGCCTGTAGGAAATGAGGCGCACATTTAGCACGGGTGACAATTTGGGTTCTGGAGACTCAGTCCAGTGAAGAGATGAAACAAGGAACTCAGACCTCGGTTGACTCTACAGAGAGGAAAAAAGGATCTGCAGGCTTCCTTCTAGGCCGTCTAGTCCAGCTCCCCAAGATACTAAGGAATACAGCCCGGCTCGTTCACCACGAACAAAGGCTGGGCACGGCTGTTACATCCCTTAGGGACCAGAGTGTGGTGCAGAAACGAAGTTAAAAACCCCAAACTGTACACTGTTGTACAGGAAATCTGTTTGAAATTAAGGTCTATGTTCAAATATATTTCCCATAACCAAGGACCTCAGTAATATTTTACTTTATATTTCTTTTTATAACAGAAAAATATGCTAGCTTTCTGTTCTTAAGTATCTTGAAAGAAAAGAGTACCAAAGCTGATGTGGGTGCGTGCGTGTGTATGACAGACTTAGCAAATAAACCGCCTTAAGAGGCAGAAACAGAAGATGGATTTCTAAACCACCTGAATGGCCCACAAAAATCCAATGATGAAAGTCGTATTTCAACACTCATTCTTAGTTCTGAAAAGCCAGACTAACCAGCCCTGTGCGAAGAGACCAAATAACTAAGCTTTAGTTTGGAGGGAGAAAGCAAATGCCAGCAATGAGTTTTAAATATAATCGAGTAACTCTAGGTTGCTACTGTTCATAGTTGGTACGTTTCATTAGACAAGATTTAAATGGCAGAATGTCTGAATATATATATAATAATAGGATGCTATAGAAATGACTCAAAAATGATTCCTCAAATTGCCACTACGACTGCATCATGCTAAAGCTCCCCCTAGTCTTTTTACTACAAAATAATTGGAGGGAAGGATCTTTTGTAGTGAGTGTCTGAGTAAATTTTCCTTCATCCCCCTCTATTTAAATGTTTTCCTTTCTTCATGGACAACATTTTGTGTTTCTTTACATTTGTAATTTCTGTAAAACATGTTTTCCCCTGTTTGATACTGTTTTTCTCAGTGTCCTCCTAAGCTTAACGCCACCCCTATCTGCCTCCCTTCTTTCCTAATTTTCCTTTTTTCTGATCCTGCTTCCTTCAGCCCAAACCTCAATTTCTAGTCTTACCTCCTTTTAAGCAATATTGCTGATCTCAGCTTCTCCAGCAATTTGTAAGGTTGATTTGCAAAGGTACAAATATTTAATACAGGATTTCCTGCACCACATGCGCTAAATGGAAACAAGTAAAATAAAGAATAACCTTTGGCCCTTGTAGTCCTTGAGGTCCAGGTGGTCCAGGGGGACCCTAAATCCAGAAAAGACAAAGTTGTAAAAGGTAGCCACGTCTATGTATTAAATTTTATGCTTCAAATAGTAAGTACACTACACATCTTCCTAATTTCTATCACAATCAAATACCCCCCAATATTGATTTGCAAAAAGGAAAAATCTCACCAGTTACAGACCTACTTATATGCAAAATCATCAACAAATATTTAGGCCAAAATAATACTGAAGATGCTCTTTTGGTTGATTTGAAAAACAATGTAAAATTGCTGCCATCTCACAATTATCTTTTGGGCTTGAATTAGCTTTTTAATATTATCTGTGTTTCTAGACACATTTCTCCCCTCCCCACCAAAAGGCTTTCCTTTCCCAAACACTAAAAAACACAGCTATACAGTTAAGATAAGGCCAAAGACTTTAAAGAAAAATAACTTTTTTTCCTTGACTTTTTCACTAAACAGACAAAGTGGTTCAACTGGGGCAAATGTGAAAAAGGTTATTAATATAAATGTCAGATAAAAACAACTGCTACATTAGTACCATTATGAGCGGCATGCACTGACATCAAACCCAAAGCCACACACCACAGATATCATGCAATAAGAGTTACCGTGACAGTTAAGGTGGTAATCCTCTGTTGGGAAAATGTATTGATAAAGACAGAGTTACCTATTTTGTGTGCCAAAGTACAGTAACACATTTCTGAAATAAGCAATGTTTTGAATATGTTTTGGCAAGCCTGATATCTCATAAGGAATTGACAAGAATGTGAGAGCGTATTGTCCTATCTTCAAATGAGTACACTGTACTGTAAAGATTCTTTTAAACATTATTTTTAGAATTTTATTTTTAAAAAATCTGTGGATAAAGAAAAAAGAAAATGTCAAAGTTTTAATTCACCAATTTTTATTTGTTTATTTATTTATTTATTTAATTTATTGATTTGAGAGAGAGAGAGAAACATCAGTTTGTTGTTTCACTTATCTGTTGGTTGCCTCCTGTATGTGCGCTGACTGGAGATCGCACCCGCAACCTTGGCACATCGGAATGATGCTCTAACCAACTCAGCTACCTGGCCAGAGATAATTCACCTGATTTTTTAAAATTATGTAGTAAAATACTACACACTAGAGGTTTTTTAGTGTAACTGTTACCTGAGAAACTTCATCATTTATACAAGCTGTATTCTAGAGTAATTTGATTAGAGAAAACCAAACAATCTAATTGTGGAAGCGATATTTTTTCTCTTTTAGTCTGGACCTCACAGTGCACATGCGAACACCATGTCTAAAGACAGAAGCCGACATGGGATTCATCTAGTTTTTTAATGTAAAGCGCTAGAGTTCTGTAACAAAATATATTCTCTGAAAGTATGAATCTCCAAAACGCTTGGTCCCCAATCCATGAATCATTTTTATATTCATATTTTCTAGCTTAAGTCTTGTGCTAAATGTCCTATAAGGCCTATGACCAATTTATGCAACTATAGAGGGGCAAAGATTCCCCATTAGGCACTCCAGTCCCAACAGAGAAACATGGAATTCCTTGTAAGCTTGTGAATACCGGCCTAACACCACCCCTTTGTTTTCCACTGCTCCACTCCAATTTCTGATCCAAGTTGTTGTTGCTGTTTTTCATTATTGTTGCTGTAAAAAATAATCTTTACATTATCTATCATACCTCAAACACTTGAGTCTCTAGTGACATGATCTCATTACTCCTTAGAAAACAATTTGTTTATGCATATGTATAAATGGCTCAATTCTATACCCTATGATAAAATCTGTTATGGTCATTACAGCCTCGGAGAAAACATAGTAGGAGAAAATTACCAGTACTTCTAAGACAAAGGCAAAATGACCGCAAATTGGGGCAAGGTTATAAAAAAAGTCATGGCCTAGATTTTTATACCATCATATTTATGTAAATTAAGATACCACTTACTTTATTCTTATGGGATTCACCTAAAGCAAGAGTCGAATTTATGGTTACGAGAAAGCTATTTCTTTGCACCTACAGGCAGATGAGTCTTTTTTTTTTTTTTAAATATGTGTTTATTGATTTCAGAGAGAGGAAGGGAGAGGGGGAGAGAGAGATGGAAACATCAATGAGGAGAGAGTCATTGATCGGCTGCCCCCTGCACGCCCCTGGGGATGGAACCTGCAACCCAGGCACGTGCCCTGACCGGGAATCGAACAGAGACCTTCTAGATCATAGGTCGATATTCAAACACTGAGCCACGCCAGCAGGGCTAGATGAGTCATTTTAAAAAGGCTGTTAGAAAATTATACAGTATAAATTATTTTTTTATCATTGCCTTCCAATTACATAGTGCAATTTTAACTAGAAAACAGAATCATAAGACCTTAGAAAGGGAAGGGAGCTTAAAATGCGAACTCTTGGAGGTTTTCCAACATGTGCCATATATAATTCATTTTTCACCTAAACACAAAACTAGTTTGTCTTTTTTTAAATTTAAGGATAACAGCATGTTTTATAATGAGGTGCATAATAAAAGAATATTATTAATGGTAACTGAACTATCTAACAGATGGGTTTTAAATGATCTTGTTAAGTAACTGTTTTCAAAAATTATACAGGGCAGGTTCCATCCAGTTAGTAGAAGAACGACAGAAAACTAAGCTAACTTCTCAAAACCAGAGTTTTTCCTGCCATTCTGAAGCACCGTGGGCAGACACACACATGCCCTAAAGATGTTTGCTCATGTTGAACTTCTCATACCTGGTTCTTCTAAGTTAGAGCTACATAAACTCCGCAGGATTCTCTCCTGAAGTTCAGTAGTGATTTGAAACCCAGGATGTTGGTAGTGATGGAGAAAGACATGCGATTCTCTGGTGAGGTCTGATGGGCAACGGGAGGCATGAGCTAGAGCGGCTGCCAACTGGTTAAAGGCTGGCAGCCTGCTTTGTGATTTATCCCCTGAGATACTTGTGTAAATCGCTTTAGAATTAAAGGTTATTTTCTTTCCTTTCTGACAAAGACGCAAGCTTAAAATCACCCATGATTTACACCGGACAACGGGTTTAGTTTGAATGGTGTTGTGGAATTTTAAAAGCCAGAAGAGGAAATGGAGAGATTTTACTGCATATTGTGGAAACGTAACCACCTTAAATAAAAATCAAAATAGGTGGCTTATGGCAAATGTTCATGTAAATGACAATTTTCGCTATTGAATAGTAAAATTTTATATGTGTAATGTGATATTTCCATAACTGTAATAAACTCCTATTTATCTAATTATCCTAGACGTTTTTGCAAATTTTTTTAGAGGAGGTAATGGTGAAATGAAATCGGCAAAACTGTGGAAATCCATCACTGGTTGGAGAATTAGAGAAATAAATGTCTCCTGCTTCCTTTCAACCTAATGGCTATTGAGTTTAGTTCATCTTTTTAGTGACTCTTAATCCACTAGAGCGCAAATAAATTAGGAAAACAAATAAATAGTTTTGAAGTGAAAAAAGAAACTATAAACTATTTACAAGCACAACATAGAGTTGCCCTAACAAGTTCATAAGAATAATAAATCTGTGGAGGTTGAGATATGAATATGAAGTAGTTGATTATGATGACTGTTGACTTGTTTACAGTCATGCAGAACTCAAGGTGAGAAGAGGAAACTGAGCACAGATATTGTTTCATATCAAGATGCAGGTGTCAGAATTTTAATTAAATCCTGTGTGTGTAAGTAAGCACACCAGCAAAAGTGTTCAGGAGCTCCTGAAAATAATCCTAAGCATAATGTTAGAATTTATAGACACTTAGAAAAAAAATCGATTAAAAAATTCTCATTTTACAGATGTGATCAATGAAGTATAGATATATTGATTTCCCTAAAATGACTAAGCTAGTTAGTAGTAGAGGGGAGATCAAAACAAAGATTATGGTTTTAGGCTAAGTGATGCCTTTTCTTAACTAACCAGTTTCTGTTAATGATACCATAAGTCTTTGAATTTTTTGAGATAGAAATTGCTCCATCCCAAGCCCTGTTCTTTCACAGGATGCTTTAAAAGTACTCTTTCACAATATTTCAGAAAATGGCCAATAATATTGGAGCATTTGGGGGAAGGTAAGAGAATGGCTACCTCTTAAAGATTGTAGTAAGAATTATGGTGCCATTGGAAGCAGGAAAATTTCCAACATTATTAATAAATTAAGTTTAAAAAGTGTCCCTATATTTTATAAGAACTTTGAAAACACAGTAGGTGCACCTAAGCTTCCTGTTCAGTTTCTCTTTCTTTACACATGCCAGTGGGAAGAACAGAAGAAGTAGGCTGAGCTGAATATAGACTCTGTAAAAACTATTTAAAAATGGTAGTTGTGGCAAAGGACCCACAGAAATGTAGGTCTATCATAATTAGAGAATGTTAGTGAAGTCATGAGGATAGGGGGGAAAAAACCCAAACAAATACAAAATAGCAAATATTTAAAATAACCGATTTGTCTTTCAAGCAAAGAAATGGATCGTCCATAATTGTACATATGAGCAAAGTAGACTCACTTCAGTCAACCAATAAGTTCATTTAATATTTACTCTCAGGCCTGTGTCAAGCAAGCTGGGGGACACAGAGTAAGCATAAAATATGTTTCCTGTCACTAAGTAACTTCCAGTCAGGTAAGCAGCAAGACTAAAATAATTTATGTGATTTAAGAATAATTAAATGTTAAACTACTGGGCCCTGACTGCTAATGTTTAAAGGGATTAAAGGGAGGAACTCATCTGGGTGGTGGCAGTGGACTGTTGGAAAGGATTTAGATGGAGGAAAGAAAGGAAAGCAGAATGGGATGAGCCAGACAAAAAGAGGGGGATTTTTATGGATATGATCAATAGGACCACTTCTGATGAAAATGTGTTCCGGAGAAATAGAAAATTCTTTACAGGAAAGACAAGATTATAGAGCCTTAAAAGTCAGATGGAGCAGTTTGAGCTTGACAGAGTAGGCGAGGAGGTCCATTGAAGTTTCTGAGAAGATTGAAGACATCAAAATGGTAAAAATTAGGAAAATTAGCCTTGGAGTGATGTACAGGATGGATCAGAAGAGCAAGGAGGCACGAGGGCAGAGGAATTGGCTGAGGGCTTGCTGCAGTGTTAGGCCTGAAATATACAGGATGTGGACCTAGTTGGGAATGGATAGGATAGGGGCAACCTCAAGAGACAGTTTAAAAACAGGAAACAGTAGCATCTAGTGAGACATAATGGATGAAGGACTAAGAATAGTTTAAAAATAACTCTAAAGTTTTTTAAGAAATTCAAAGGCTTATGATATCATTATCAGGAACTGGTTAGTTAAGAAAGGGAATCGCTTGGTAGGTGGGAAAGGTAACCAGTTTAACTGTGTCTTGGTGGAAGTCGATAATCAATGGTGCATCCATGGAGGAAATATTCCTAGAGAGCTGGAGGCACATGCAGATCAGACACGGCAATGAACGATTTGGAAGCAGCCATAACACAGAAGGATATGGGGCGATGTACCAAGAAAAGACCAGAGACTTGAGGATACCAAAAATTAGGGAGTGGACAGAGAAACTGGAAATACAAAAATAGAGTAGACCCATCAAAGAAGAAAAGTGGAAGAAATAAGAGAGTAGAGGATCAGAGAAACCAGGAAGAAAAAGTTTCAAAAGAGGAAGGTTTTTTTAGTATAAATGTCACAGAAAAGTCAAGGGTGATAAGTACAATGTGCTTGACCTAGAGGTTATTAGTGACCTTTGCAGGAGAAGTTACAGCAGCCTGATGACACAGGCTGGAATGCAGGAGTCTAAGCATGAAAAGGGGGAATAGCAGATGGAGACAAGCCACGCAGTCTATGGTTTTCACTTAATGAGAGAAAAAGAATTGAATGGTAGCAGTAACAAGAAACACCCACCGAGGACTTGTCATGTGCCAGGCATTTAGCTATTTACAGCTCACAACAACTATAGGAGGCGGATACGACAACTTTCCTTAGAGAAAACTGAGGCATGGAGAAGTAAGTGAGCTTGTCATGCATTTAGTAAGACAGAGTTGAAAGTTGAACCCTGGCAGCTTCAACTCTAGAACCACAGGGCTCTTCACTGCTTTGCTAGGCTTGCTTTTCAAGCAAGGAGGCAAAGATTGGTGAAACGAACACAAGGTTTCAACCAGGTAAGACTCAAGCATATCTGAAGGTGGAAAGAACAGTTTGAAAAATTGAAGCGTGGTAGGAAATGAAGAAGATAAACGGGTCGGAAGTGGGGGGTGGGTTCAGAATAGGGAGAGGGTATGCTTTGAACGGTGGAGCCCTCTGGGATCCCAGGGGCATGAAAGCTGATATTCACACATATTATTACATGGTGCTCATCAGCGTCACTGTCTGTGTCAGGGCGGGGAGCAGTCACTTGCCTGCAAGGCTTCATGGAGGTTGCCATTATAGTCTATGATCTCGGTGGCTCCTTGATCCCCCTTTTGACCAGGTGGACCCTATGAAAAAAACCAACCAACAGGAAATCATGTGGGTGAGGCTAGGATATACGGGGTACTAGGGCAAGAATAGAAATAGAAACTTGCAGCTCTTTGACCATCAATTCCCCACGAGGGCACAACCGAACTTTAGAATAAATACATAGACATGTCCTTATTTCAAAGGATGCGAACCATTTCTAACTTCCTTGTCTGTGGCATGTTAAAGATATGAAATCTGAATTAAAAAAGAGGTATGATTCAACCTCTGAAACTGTTCTCTGAAAACTATAAAATGTAGGCTCATCTGATTCGACTTGCAAACATTCATTGGCTTTATCCACATTTATTAAAGCCACCCCCAACCTTTTCTAGTTCTCTACAACTCAAAGATTGGGACCTCATTCTCTAAGGAGATAGGACACTGTTTTTAGGAAATGCATGGTTTTCCCAACAGGGAAGAGTTCTATTAAAATAAAACCAAAGAGGGAACGTGAAGGAGAAGACATATATTTTCTAGACTTCTATCCTACTCATTAGCTCTGCCACTGAATTGCCATTAGTCATGTATAATTCCCTGCCTGTGTTTGAACAAAAGGCTTTGAAAATATGGGTGATTGCTTTCCTAATAATTGGGTTAAATGAGAAATGGAAATCTACTAGCTGGATGACTATGGGCTTGCTATTGCTCGTTCAGCAGAGGGAAAGTAGAGAGAGTTCTTTAGACCTTCTTCTCTTGAGCTGATTTTATGTGTTAGAATCTACACACTCATTGCTACTGGTGACTGAAATTAAAAATAATAGGAAAGGAGAGGAATTGGGAATAATTATAGTCGTCTACCTCCAGTGCTGTTATTGGGTATTATGAGTCCAGGTGGCTCATGAAAAGCCACACAGACACATACTTTAAGTTTGGGCTTGGAGGGTGGGGCAAAGGCTGGGATGAAAGACACACTCACCCTTGGTCCCAGGGTTCCAGAGTCTCCTTTGTCTCCACGGTCACCCTTTCACCAGTGAAAAAAGAAGAAACTAAATTAGTAGTTGGGCCAACAGTCTAGAAATATCTCAGATCTAAGGAAGTACTTAGGACTATATAGCATCACCCTTAACACAACTTCTGAAGTAGAAAGTCACAACTAGAACAATAACCTCCCACATGGCAAATGCTTCTAAGTGAATTAAAATTCCCCTTTCAGATAACAGAGTATCCTGTAACAACAATATAGATGTTAGCTCTCTCACTAGGGATCTTCAAAAGCAAAGCAAGTGGTTTCCATGACAACCAGAGTACGCTTTTACGTCTGAGACTGAGACATGTTCTTGCCTTTATATGAAAAGATTTGGGGCAAAGGGAAAAGAGCCAACCACTTTGATTGTCTTTCCTTTGAGAAGTAATGTGTAAATAATCGAGACAGGAAAGGAATGAAGAGCTCTTTCTAGGGAGAATCAGAAAGGAAAGGTCACCAGCTAGGCCCTCCTCTGATGATGGGGATTTAAGGAAACATGTCCCTGTAGCTACAGGCATTTTAACACTCAGAAGGTGCTGAAGTGGACAGCAGCTGGCTGGGACTGTGGGCAGGGCTGAAGGTCAGGGGCAGGGCAAACCCAGCTCTCTCTCTTTTAAAAAGTTATATGAAAAAGCCTCTGGAGTTCCATTTAAGGTGTTATTACCCAACCTGGAGAGACATAAGAAATAGTCCAAGCCTCAAACTGCACACACACCACTCTGAGAACACTCAAAATTCTCAGAAGTCTAAACAGAAACATTGGAGAAGAGATTTGAACCTGTACAGATTTGAAGGTTCTTTAAACCAGCCTTAAATTTATAGAGACTTTTTCTAAATGGAATGCAAAGCATTTTGATATGTCTTTCTACATATTCCTATAAATTGGGAAAGGACCAATGAAGAGAAGCAGGAAAAGGGATTATAATTTTTATCCATCCACATTGACCCAGAATAATTAAATTTGCTATATAAATGGAGAATAATTTCTGCTGTTTTCTTTATTTTGTACCCATTTTCCATGTTATTAGCTAATAGCATTTTAGACTCTACTAACAGTGTATAGTTAATTGCAAATATTATAAAGAACATGGTAAAGGAAAGAATTTCAATTGGTGGTAAAATTTTAATGCAATGAAGGGAGTCAACCGACTTAAAAACAAAGTAGCCCTGGCCAGATGGCTCAGTTGGTTGGGGTTGTGGGTTTGATTACCCATCAGGGCACATATGTAGGCTGCAGGTTTGATCCCTTGTCAGGGCACAACAGGAGGCAACTGATGGATGTTTCTCTCTCTCTCTCTAAACATATCCTTGGGAGAGGATTTAAAAAACGCAAAGTGTAATTTGAACATGTACCACAAAGATAGCCAGTAAATGAAAACTAAGATTATACCATACGTCAGTTAAACTAAGTACAGCACTTAATTTTTTCCCAAAGAAACTATTATGAAACAGGAAATACAACGTCCCTTAAAGAACAGTCTGAAGCACAGGGGCACACAAAAACAAACGAGGTGAAACAAACCGACGGCTTTGAGATCTCATCATAGGGATGAAATTATTGCCACCCCAGTGTGTGGAAGAGTTTAATTTAAAACACGATTCTCTGTGGAAGAGGCAAAAAGCACAGCTCTTGAAGGCCTCCTGTTATATGAAAACCATTGCCCGGTTACTGACCTTTGACCCCTTTGGGCCTCTAGCTCCTGATTCACCTTGTTTCCCCTGTCACAGGAGAATATGGTGAGAAAAAAGAGAGAGACAGAGGAGGTGAGAACAGGAAAAAGAAATTGTCAGTGACATAAAAATGGAAACACTTTATTTTAACTGCCATACTATATGGCTCCGTGTAATGCTGGCTATTAAAACAGTAAACGACAGTATCGTCACAGTGTCCCTGGTTCACGCCCCGGTCTCCCTGCCAACCTCCACCCCACCGCAGCTGAAGACCCCCCTCCCGCCAGGGCTGGGGCGAGCTCTGTGAATGATTCTCATCAGTCTCAACAGTGTTTGCTCAAATTTCCCTCTCATCAAAGAGTAAATAATTTCCTGTGTCTCTAGGATGGGTTATTAAAATAAAGTGTTACCATATTAGTTTGCAGAAGTTCAGAGGAATAAAGATTGAACAGTCAAATAAATCCTTAGCGCTAATATTTTCAAGGTGTTATCAGTAAGTTACCGTCGAAGCTAAACATAACACATATCAACACGTCCTCATGAGTTTCAATACCCACTGAGTGAAAATGTGTTAATGACAGCACCTCCCCCTTGACATTTGGATGTGTGATGAAAGTTGTTCAGAGAAAAGACAGAGAACTGGGGAAGTTAAATTGTAAAATTCCTTTTGAAAAGAACCAATTGGTGTACATTTCAATAAATTATTAATACCTGGTGAGGAATTTTTAAAATTTAGCTTCATGTTCTAAAGCAAGGGGCGCACATTTCCAAACCAAAGAATGGTATTTTCCAATGTAAAAATAACTGACCTTTGGTCCAGGGGTTCCAGGCTCTCCTCGCTCCCCTCTTCCAGGAGGCCCTGCCTCCCCTCGTTCACCCTGTCACAAATTGCAAAATCGGTAAATGGCAGCCCTCCTCTCCCTCTCCCCCTTCCCAGCTGGTCCCTGTAGATTAATAAGTAAGTTGAATAAAATTAAAGAAAGCAGAGAGTTGCTATTTATTTATCACGTACCCAACACTGTATTAATCTCAACATGAATTATCTCACTTAATAAAATTATTGCTCAGTCAATTGTATTATCATTTTCATTTGATAGATAAGGAAGTGAACTGGTAAATGCCTATGTTGGTAAATGGAAGGCCTTTAAAGGTACTTGATGAGGGCCATCATGATACCTCAAAACACAAATAGATATAGTTTTCATTCTTCAGCCACTTTCTCAGTACTGTTGGGATGAAGCATGGCAAAGCGGTTAAGGCTTTGTAATGGCCTAACTTGTCACTATAAAGGCCAGGCTACTTGTAATCCCACATCCTAGGTCTTAACCCTGGCTCTATTATTTATCAGTTCTGTGTTTTGGGGCAAGCTAGCTAAGTTCCAAAAGCCTCAGCTTCCTCTGTAAAATATAGAAAATCATAGCACTGATCTCATAACTTATAAATGTAAAGTGCTCAGCATGGTACAAAACATATAGGCGTTACAGCTCTTACTCTCTTCATAGCTCTGTGAGGTATGAACATTGTCACTGCCCCCAAGGACCCTAGTGGTCTAGTTAGACAGACAAGACCCACATAATAAAACAGTTAAGAATTAAGGAGTAATTGAAAGCCAGAGAAAAGAAACCCCATGGGGTTTTCAATGGTCCAGACTGGCTCCTTGAAGGCGACACTTGAGACATTTTCTGAAGGATAAGTAGGTTGTATTTTATAATTATTGCTGTTTACCACTGTGCTATTGAGTGCAGGAACTGCACAAAACACTTTACATCCATTATCCTATTTAATCCTCAGGACAGATGAGAAAGGTGTTAGTACTCACAGTCTACAGATGAGGCAACTGAAGCTCAGAGGGGTTAAGTAACTTTTTCAAAGTCACAAAGCTTTTATAAGGAAGAGCTGTAATTTAAAACTGATTGGGCTCAATCTTCAACTTCTGTATAAATATTTTTGTATGTAATCCTTTGAACATCTCTGGTCATTTTCTTAAAATAAATCTGTAGTTGGGGAATTGTTGTGTCAAGAAGTATGAACATTTTAGAAGTTTGCCAGATCACCCTCCAGGAAGACAGTGCTGTCGTCTACTCTGCACACAGCAGGCTGTCCAGCTTCCTGCATGATGGGCAGAATTTCAATAGTCAAACAGGTTTGAATTCAGTCTGGTGCTACCGTGCTTATGGGTGAGAGGCATCCTCCTCACTGGAGGATCTGATTCGTCTTGGAAAGGAAAAGAAAATAGAATTGGATCCATGATGGGTGATGCAGGGCTTTAAATTCTGAGATCTTTATCTGTATCATTCCCTCTCTGGGAAGCCTTTATGTTGGGCAGGGGAGGTGGGAGAGAGCAGGGCAAGGATGAGAGAAGACTCAGTAGGTTGCTCTGCACCAACCAAAGAGAGTGGGACAATGGAGAAGGTGGAAGGAAGGCAGGGGGCTTGAGGGATGCAGGAAATGGAAAAGATGCTCCGAGGGCTTTTCCAGGGATTAGAGACTGAAGCACTTCTGCTGATATATGGAATTTTAAGAAAGTAGCATATTTGGTGTTTCTCTTACTATTTTACAGAAGAATTCTAAAGCAGTAACTATAAGCTCATTTTAGGGAAAAACAGAAATCTTAGAAAGTCATTTATCTGTAATATACCATAGGAGTGGAGTCAGTATATCTTTACCTAGAACCACTTTTTTTAAAAAAATCACAATGCCCCTAATTAGTTACTTATCATTTTCTGAAATTATATTATTTGTTTACTTTTCGCCCCCCCCCCCC